CACCTTTACATGTCCGTTTCATATCTCAGGTCATGATTATGGTGATAAGCCTCTTGTCATACCTTCTTGAAATTCTTACTCATCCTTTAGAACACAGGTTAATTTCCCTAGCAACCGCCCTAGTAGCACATAAACAAAAATCAACAAATCCTTCTTCTTATCCTAATTTAACACGAATGGCTTTCAAAGCAAATTGTTAACTTTGAAAACTGACAAGGTAGTTTGGGTTAAGAAATATTTCATACAAATTTATAAAGATAGATATGTATAAATCCACTGGAGCTTTACATCAATTAACTGTAGTGTGATACCATATTCATGATACATCGAAAGGCTTTTAAATGATTTATGATATTACGATTATAAACGATTTCGAAGAATGCCCTGAAAATGCCAGTTTGTTCTTCATAAAGTGATTGGTGAATCGTGAATGCATTAACTCCATTCGAACAAAGGCAAGCACCGCGTCATCTAAATATAAGGGAAAAAAATGACGCTTTACCCCATCAGTCTCAAATTACCGACGGCATAGAAATAAAGGCCCCCAGCTGAGTTATTTTTTTCAATCTGTGTAAATCAGTCGTCCAAATCCAAGCCAGCTAACACTTCTCGATCCCAAGGCGGCCGAGAGATACAACAGCGATACAACTACATTTATCGATACCAAAGGCCATCCTGGCAGAGTCATGATGCCATAACGAAATATTACGGAATGATTAATGTGACCTGTCTGATATCCTGCATATCGTACTTGTGATGTCTGGCTTCAGTATTTTTTGTGTTTGCGTTGTAAGACAAACCGAGGAGACGTGATGTGGGCCACATCTTTCTGATTTACTGTTGTTATGATACTTATTTCGTTTTGTTTCTTCATTTTTTATTATTTGCATTCCTGTGACGATGAACTTGCGGGAGGCATATTGTACGACTTGTATGGCTTATACAACCTGTTATAATAATAAGTGATTTAAATGTTATACTCGCTTGGGATAATACCCTCCGACTGTTTCCGCTTTTAATTTGTGCAATTCATGTATGTGTTCAAACATGCGTGTACACCGGTTTATATAGGCCTATCGATCGGACTGACTTTTGCAGTCGAGGTTTCTTTTGTTGCGTTTTATCATTTTTTAAAGAAGCATGCTTCCTGTCTATATTGTGTTCAGAAACAACTAGTCCTGACATGTCGAAGCCCTCGTCCAAAAACCAAGCCGTATTTTACCCTGAAAATTTGGTTGAACAATGGCAAAGTAAACCGTGTATTTGCTGCCACTTCTAAGTGCGCGAGTCTTATTGATCTAACGCTTTTACAACGCCCATACAGTTTACACAGAAATGCTTGCTCTGAATGGTCGACGAAAATGTCCATAGAAAAGCAAATTAACGAGACCTAGCCATGATGTAGAGGAGAGTAAGATATACATATATAATCAACAGCCCTAGCTTCATCTTATATCAGGTGAAATATGAAAGATGTGTCAACAGTGAGTGAAATTACAATAGAATGAGTGTTGTGATTTGGCTTAAGGTGCACGACCAGTGGCCATTTTTGTAAGATAAGTATACACACCGATGAATAAAAATTTACCATAGTTTCCCAAGGACCCAGCTGCGTTCTTTTGCTAATCGTAAGAAGGCACTGACCACAAAGTTTTCACAGCAAACAACAGCAATACAATTCGTATCCATAAAACGTGCAGGGCTTGCACTTCATTTAAGCCAACCCTTTGGCACATTTTGATCATTGGAAAAAGAACAAATCCTAAAATCTTAAAGCAATAATCTTATGCCGGGTAAAATGTGAATTACTTCATTATACATGATATTATATGAACTTCGCTCTTTCCATTCATTCAGAGCGCAGTAGTATTGAAATTGGAAAAAAGAAAAGGCGATTAGTTTTTTTTACTAATAACAGACGGTTTCATCTATTTTCAAGGCATTTTTTTCTGTCTGGGTTGTTTGTCAAATGTGCAATTTTCATATTAAAAAAAAAAATTAAAAAAAGGCACCCAGTTTTGTGCTTGTCAAATGTGCAATTTCCATGTGACAAAAATAAATAAATGAATAAAAAAAATAAATAAATAAAAATAAAATACGCACCCAGTTTTGTGTGTTTCAAGATAAGATATGCGTGTTGTTATCACATTGAACCTTTCGTATATTCATTATACGGTTATTGCTTTCCGATACGGAAAATGCCCTGTTCATCTAGGTCCCGTAACTAAACCTAGTGCTTACAATTAATCTCTTTGTAGCGGTGGGCGTATAAGAATTATCCAGAGCTCACCGAGAGCTATAGGAGACGAAGCATAAAAGCAAAGATATTCCCATTAATGAGGTATTGAGGTCAGCAGGTAAAACAAAATCAATATGTTCTGATCTCTATTGATCTCACAATCACCTAATTTAGAGAATGCAATTGATTTATAGATCGATCGGTGTTCTTCTTGGGTTGAGAGCTTTGTGGCAAAAGGAAATAAATAACAGGTAACAAACAACAAAGTGACGAGAAAAGCATGCAGTCGGATTTATTTCTGTTGGACAATGCGAAGGGTAATTTGTCTACAACTCCATACATACATTTCATTTCTTTTTTTAACCTCTCACTCTTATCTTTTATCTTCAATGTAGAAATACCGAGAGATTGCCGAGCTACCGTTATTATTTTATGACTGTAACCTAGCAAGCGTTCTTAGCTTTCGTTATTTTTAAAAGAAATAGGTCTATATAAGCCAGGACTCAATGGATACTGAGTCCTAGATATAAGTAAAACATAGTGTTTAATTTACATGACACATACAATATTTTTCCAAAACAAGCCGTCTCTTTTACCTTTTAAAGTAGTAGGACTTAGTTTCTGCATAGAACACTCCTTTAATTTCATGTCGTTATTCTTGTCAGTAAAGAAATAAAAATTAAAGCTCTGTAGTTATGATACTACGATATTTTTCTCATTCTGTAAATGAGTAGGTCTAGTTTCATAGTCAACGTTGGGACGCTTCTTCAATTTCTAAATTTCCATCGATGCTGACTGTCTGTGAAATTCATTTCAGACACCAAAATACACAGTTTACATTAAAAAAAAAAAAAACACTCTCATAAATTTTCCGGAAAATGTTGTTTGTCTAAATCTAAACCTGCGGTAAATATCATCCGTGGTTCATTCCAGTTAACAGTCTATTCAGTCGTGTATTGTTGCTTGCATACAGATTGTGGAAAGTCAACAAGCGCCTCTAACACAGTCTGATCAGACAAAGTAGCAGATAATTATAAAGTGCGAGTCGGCGATCGAGCCTTACGCGAAACAGAGGAGACAACATTGGCGAGCTATATCTGTATTAAAACTTGCGATCGGAAAATTATAGGGCACAACGTGCGCAATTCAGCGTATTCATTTGTTCGAGCTACTGTTTTCTGTTCGACCCGTGGAATATTTTTCTTTTTTTTTTATCTGTGTGTTTGTGCCATTAGTGCATTAAAAAGTCGAAAATTGTTTGAACTACCAATGCAAACGCTCATTGCGCTTAACTGATTATGTTTTATTTTGCAGTATAGGTCCCAAATGTGCCCTCAAGACCATGTACATACCACCAGCATACATGGGGAGAAATGGGGGAGAAAAGCAGACAAAATTAATGAGTTGGTTAACGAACGCTGAGTTGGTTAACTTCCCCGACTTTGAGGCAATCTTTTTTTTCGATTGGAAAAAATGCATTGGGCATTGGCTTGGTACATTCGTAATTGGGAAAAGTTAACCCAGGTAAAACGCTGTTCAAAAATCTGTTCAAAAATGTAATGTTCAAACTGTTCAATTGACATCCTGCGCCCGCCCCCCGCCCCCCGTCCCAAAAAAAGAGGGATAAATAAATGAAGTAAGATAAATAAGTGAAAAAAAAAATAATAGTTAATTTTGTCTACCGATCATGTTTGCAGACAGCTGCCGCTTTTTAAAAAATGTGTCTGGCAGTTTTCACTTGAATAAAACCTGTGACGCTTTGATATACTAGTACCAACATGCTGGTAAGTCCTTTTGCTACCCTCTGCCAGGGTCACAGATTGATTTTCATTTGATATTCACAGATATTTCTCTGGCTAATTCTATGGACTTTTCTATTCAGCGAGAAATTTTATATCAGGGGAGGATCCAGGATTATTTGAGGGGGGGGGGGTCCAGTTTTTTTAAGAATGACAGGCCTGGGATGTGAAGTCGACCCTAATTTGCTACCTTGGTGTGGGGTACGGTGTTTTGGAGGGCAAAAGGTGCCATTTGGTGCAGTTTAGGACTATGATTCAGCTCTTCAAAATTCTAATATCTAATATCAAGAAGGGAATAAAGGTGTGATTTTTTCCCCAGGATTAGAAGGGGGGTTGGAACATAAGCCCCTGACACCCCACCCCACCCCCCAATCCGCCACTGTAGAATTGACGTCACAACCAAGACTCCTGGACTGGGTTCCCATACCTAGATCGATCTAACAGGGTCGATCCATCTCCATGGGGTTTCTTGCTAAATTGCTTCCAGCTTAAGCGGCTTAAGTGTCTGGCACGCCCACTGAAGCTGCTTAACGATAGTTGATTACCCCCTAACAGCTTCAGTAGGCGTGCCAGACATCTAGGCCGCTTTAGTTAATTGCAATTTAGTGAGAATAACACTTGTAGAGATAATAGCTTGAAAAATATGAAAGATTCCAACTTTTATTACTAAGAATTTTACCAAGTTTTATTACTAAAATAATAAGGTGTTACACTTCGTGGCTCGAGATGACACCTACTACTGGCCTGACATGACATGTCTCTAGACTTTGGATCGCTTAGTAATTAATAAAAGACCTATTAAACTTAAACACTTTAATTAATTATAGGGCTTGAGCCTGCTTAAAATGTATTTTTCAACATAAATGGTGTTCATACATCCACATAGTCAATCTGATTTGCGTATTCTTAAAATTATGCACTTCTCGGTGATTTATTTAGAAGGTGTAAGCAGGTCACGTGATTTATCATGGCCGCGCCCTTTAAATTTGCTGCTGGTTTGTTTATCCCTTGAAAAAGTAATATGTAAGGGCCATTTGCTTCTGTTTTTGGAGTGTTCACATGATGAACATGGAGGAAAGAGACTCGGGACACGAAAGTTGTGTTTCCAGTTCTTCCGACGATTCTATGTCAGATGGAGATTATGTGGTAAGAGCTTTGGATAGGTTCCACACGTACATTTTGCTAGAGACTTAAAAAAATAATTATACACAGATATATAGCTTCATATTAACCCATTGTAGCCCTCGTCATCAAAACAAACGGCAGCCATACTGGAGGGAGACCGGAATCGTCTGCTGCGCATGATCATGTCTACATGTACAATTTAGCATTTAATTTCTGTGTTTTCTTTGATATTAAACCGAGTAAAATGATGAATTACTGCAGGGTATATGATAGAGAGAAGATAAATAACTTAACAAGCGTTCACAGACTGCCTGCAGTGGTAACAATCCAAGGTGTAGGGACGAAAACCGTAAACGGAGGAGAGACTGAGGAGTGGCTTTGAATCAAGACTCATCGGACAAGTAAAGGATAAAACTAATTTATTTTACAGCAAAGAATGAAGACCCAGCTGTGCAGCCTTTACCATAAAAGAAAAAAAGTAGAAAACCAATGACCGAGGTGTATAAGATATGAGCGCACGTACACTGCATATTAGTAGTGCCCAAAAAGTCTTGGTGGAGAGTGTGTTGTAAAAACGTGTGGAAATACCCAGGCAGGGTTTCGACTTTCATTATGAAGACTCACTTATTGCCTTGGGTGTAATTTGTTATCAGTTATGGTGCTCTTTGGATTTTATCTGCTGTCATCTACCTCTTTAATACCTGGTTAGCATTATTGTCAATTAGTGTCAAGGCTACAGTACAATGTACACAGCTCAGCTGGGCCAATTAAATCAATTACCTGTGTCATGTGTATTTGGAAGTTAGTGGCTTGATTTTAGATTTAGTGTAGTGTTAAGAGTAAATCTGTTTTGTAAGTATATATTCTAGCTCAGGTACCATTTAATTGAATGAACTTATGAAATGAATTTGAAAAATGTTGAATTCTGTGTTTTCCTACTGTATTATGATGCAAGTTACAATATGAATAAAAATAACTATTGTTACCTTTTTTTGTTAATTTACATTTAGGAAATTGATCTGACATTTTCCCACCAAGCCACACTGAATGATTGGGTGCAAATAAATCTTGGTAAAAAAAAAAAAAAAAAAAAAAAGGTGACAGGTACAAAAGGCAGCTAGATGGCACACAAGGTAGAAGCAGCGAAAAAATATTCTTATATCTTTGTGACCAGCTGAGGAGACAGGATCTGAACATCAGGAGAGTGAAATTCAGTGCATGACAGGAGTTATTTAATTGGATTTGTTTATTTATTTCATTGTTCATTTGTTGTTTTAAAGTTGTTATCCTGATAGCTTGCATACAACAAGGACAGGTTTTCTATTTATTTAGAATTGTGAGCAGAAGCACAAGAAGAAATGAAAACACTTTTTTCTTTCTCATATGTTTAAAGGCTAAATGGAAAAGTTTGCAAGAAATATAAAATTTTGTATGGTGCACCTCCCACAGATGGTCTGATATGCAGAAACAGATGGCTGTTGTACATGTAGGTTGTCACTGTTGTGCATTTTTAAATTGTGACCACCAGTTGTGGAATTCTCCTAAATAAAATTACAAACTGCTTAGTAACACCATCTAAGGCCTAATATGTACATACCCACACAGCACATATCAATTGTGAGTCTTCAATCAAGCATTTCTCTAGACATAGATTAAAAATATACTAAACAGGTTTCTCAAATTATGGTGGCTTGATTCGACTTAATATGCTCATGTACATGTTGCATTGCATCATTAAAAGTATGGAAATATTTTTCATGTCAGTGTTATCAACCAAAAGGAAAGGGACCCTGATAATCTGTCATTGAATTGTGCAACAATGTTTTGCATTTCATGTTTACTTTTATCCATACAAAATGTGCATTTTCCTATATTTTCAATCAAATAAAGATCAATTCATGAACTGACTTGTTGTTATGTTACATTGAATGTCATAAGTTTGAAAAATACATTGCTTCTGTGAAGGTCTGGACTAATAATAAAATGCTAACAATGTTGCTACTGTGAATGGTTGAATTCATGGTAAAATATTGAACTCTCAAACAACAGTCATGTTACAAATACTTCCTAATGAACCAAAATGAAGCACAAGAATGCTGAAATAATTTCTGACAGCTTCATGATGTACAGTTAAATCATATCTGACAGCAATATTTCTTGTCACAACCCTGCATACTCTCTTCTTTGAGTCCGTAAGGCTTGATCCCGATAGTCAGCTCAAATTTCTCCTTATATCTATCCTTTATGTACAAAGTTGCTTCTATGAAAGGTTGAACTTATGATTACACAGTAAACTCTCTAAAGCTATAACTTTTATTACCCAATGAACAAGAAAAATGAAGTACAAGATAACTGAACTAGCTTCTGACAACATTCCACGATGTTGGGATACAGGGGTAGGTCAGGATTTCACGTCTTTGGACTGTCTTGAGTTTATATGGGTCGATCACGCTGATCAGCTGAAGTTTTCACATGTATATACTATTTTCCTTTTGGTGTACTTGATCACGATATGAAGATTATTTCATTTTATTTGGTTCACCTATATTTACGCTACTATTCCCCGTCGTTCTTTCCCTCCAGAATGGCCGCTGGACGAGTGTTACGGAGCAAATATGACGTCACTGTAATCGGTTAATCTGAGAATGAATATAGATTTTCAGATTTTCATCGGAAAAAAAATGGAAAAGAAAAAGACTTGTTTCATAAATTAATTATGGTCATATATTTTTCAGGTTCAGCAGCCAGCAGCAGTCTCACCTGCCCTTTCTGAAGAACAGCCTAAGTTTGACTTTACCAGTTGGAGTCCAGATGCACCAGCAGGTTTGTGAGGAACTCCAACAACATATGAAAACTCAAAACCTAATCTAAAACACTGTTACATCCAAACATCACACCAAAATACTTACCACACTAGACTGAATTTTGTTTCATTATTTGGTCCATAACTTTTTTCATTTGTAATCTTGCCTTAATTGTTAGTTCATTTGCCATGTTTTCATGTTCCAATGGTTATCCTAAGGTCTCCAGTGGTTGAGTTTACTCCCCATGGGTGCAGACTATGGCTCACAAAAAGAACATGTTGGTAGGATCAGGGTATCTGCCACACACAGGAAAGCAAGAATGAAGCGATTTGCTTCAGGGCAGACAGTTGCAAAAAATAAATTAGGTAAGGACATGTCTGAAAATGCTCTTTGTGTTATTGGTGTTTTATCTAAATATTTTGCAGTTAATTGCACAGGAATTTAATGACTACACATATTATTTCTCTATAAAAGCTTAACAATATTATAAGTTTCTTGTTTGATGTAACAATTTTTTCTCTCATTTACTAAGACGTAAATATGTACAGATAATAAATGATAAGTATACAAGTAACTAGGCTGACCTGTATTTTTTTTTTAGATGAGAGAAGGCTTCGAAATGCAGTGAATGATAATGATTATTATGCAGGTAAGAAATGTACTCTGTTCTAGTAAGCCTAAATATTTGTATGTTGCACTCTGATTTTTAAGTGTTTATAAATTTTGTATAAGGCTTGCTCACCTGTACATATATTTGGTCACTGATTAAATTTGAATCCATGGGTTTGTGATTTAAATGTGCATTAATAAGAAATCATGCCTAGTTTTCTCTTTGTAATATGAGCAAACACAAACACTTTTATATTATTGTAGCATTTGCATTGTAGAAGTTTGAATATCTTGATATCTTATGTGCATACTTTGATGTTTGAAGTGCTCTTTACTGTTCCAGCATTTCAGCTTCTTGATGGTGGTGTGGACCCGTGCAATTCAGATGAAAAGAAAAGAAGTCCTCTGCACTTTGCTGCCTGCAAAGGAAATGAACGTATTGGTAAAGACTAAAATGCATTGTCTATTTAAGAAGAAACAGACAGGATTTGATAAGATTAAAGTTACTGAAAATAGACGTTTCATTTTTTATTCATTGTCCAATTTAAAAAAATTGGGCAAATACAGCTAAAGAATTTACAAGTTCTGAAACTGGTTGATTCTAAAGTTGCCATGGTTTTTGCCTGCCTGTCTGAACCTGAGTTAAACATTTTTCATATGATAGCGTCAACTTTGAAATAGTATTAGTATATGTCACTGTTCGTAAATTTTCAAGAAATTCATCTCTTTTTGTATTTTAAGCAAGTTTGTTGTTAGATTATGGTGCTGATCCAAACCAAAGAGATGTACTTGGGAATACTGCTCTGCATTTAGGTAAGGAAGGTCTGCCAGCTGTATCCACACCTCAATATAATATAAAAATACATGATGATAATGTCAGATGGATTTGAGGTCAATGCTGTTAGTCATGCATCTAATTTGAAAGAAAGAATTGAGCTCTACACTGATAAGCAATATTGTCAACATGTCCAATGTGATCTTTCATGTGAATGGACCTTTCCATTTTTATGATATGTCAGTCTCATTGTAATTAAAATTGTATTTTAGCTGCATGCACAAACAACATCAAGATGGTGACTGTCCTGCTCTCTGCAGGTAGGTGGCATTGAACTTAAAACAGCCAGCTTGAATTTAACCTTTTTATGTACAGACACAGATGTGTCTGTACATATAGCCATCATCTGCGTCTGTCGTCGCCGTCGCCGTCGTCGCTGTCGCCGTCGTCGCCGTCGTCGCCGTCGCCGTGCACTTTTACCGATAACACGATAAGTGGAAAACCATTTTACTTTTTGGCTTGAAACTTACAGAACTGATGAATATTCATAATACGCAGGTCAAGTTCGAAAATCAGCATGATCGGGTCACTTATAGGGAATTTATGCTGATTTTTCACTTTTTTCAGCATTTTTGCAACACCGATAACACAATAAATGAAAAGCTGTTTTACCCTTTGGCTTGAAACTTACAGAACTGATAAATATTTATAATACGCAGGTCAAGTTCGAAAATCGGCATGATTGGATCACTTATAGGGAATTTATGCTGTTTTTTCACTTTTTTCAGCATATATGCAGCACCGATAACACGATAAGTGGAAAACCATTTTACCTTTTGACTTGAAACTTACAGAACTGATGAATATTCATAATACGCAGGTCAAGTTCGAAAATCAGCATGATTGGGCCATTTTTAGGGAATTTATGCTGTTTTTTCACTATTTTCAATATAAATGCAACACTGATAACACAATATAAGAAAAACGGATTGGCCAATTGTAATTATACTCACAGGAGTGGTCAATCTTACTAAAACGCAGGTTGAGTTCGAAAATCAGCATAATCGGGCCATTATTTTAGAAGTTATACTGTTTTTCACATTTCCTCAGATTCAATTATTAGGCATGTTAACAGTCTCATTATTTAACTAATAAGATGCCTAAAAGTGTTTGTTTGATATTTCCTGCATCTTTACAACATTGTTAGTTGATTATGTAAAAAACATGGTAAACTTGTTATCATGTATTGTGTAATAAAGTGTCAAAAATGGAAATAAACTCATATCATTGCAGTTTGTCAGATTCAATCATCCACTATGTTCAGAATCTCAGAATGGAGGAAATTGGACATTTAACACTGTTCTATTGATACTTTTCCCATCTCATCAATTTTCTTAGTTGGTCATATAAAATGGCAGTAAAATGTTTATTTTGTTTTATGTTAAAAAAGTGTTAAAAATGGAAATAAACCCATTTCAGAACAGTGCTGTCTTGTTTACATTTTGGCATTTTCAAGGCGTGACTTTGAAGTTCCATGGGCCTGAAGACCTTTGCTAGTCACATTTTCTGAATATCTGTGAAACAAATATTTTATAATTAAAAATTGATGGTCATTAAGCTGTTAAACATTATGTAATATTGCATCAAAATTTGAAGAAACCCCTATTTTGGGCACTGCTTCCATGATGACCATTTAAGGAAAATCATGTCACTTACTGTTCTCAAACTTACAGGAAAGAAACATGGGACTAAAATACAGCTTCAGTAGGCAATGCAGTCTGTTTGGTATTTTTATTTATTTATTTATTTATTTTGGCAGTTAAACAGTTTTTTGTGAAAATTTAATTTTTCACATATTGGCATTTTCAAGGTGTGACTTTAAAGTTCCATGATCTTGAAGACTTTTGCTTGTCACATTTTCTGAATGTCCATGTTACTAATATTTTATTAATAACATTTGATTGTCATTATGCTGTTAAACATTATGTAATGTTGCATCAAAATTTGAAGAAACCCCTATTTTGGGCACTGCTCCTATGATGACCATTTAAGGGAAATCATGTCACTTACTGTTCTCAAACTTACAGGAAAGAAACATGGGTCTAACATACAGCTTCAATAGGCAACGCAGTCTGTTTGGTAATTTTTTCTGGCAATTTAACAGTTTTTTGTGAAAATTTAATTTTTCACTTATTTGCAACTTTTTTTTCTGTTCTTTGTCTGTACATTTGACAGCTTTGCTGCCTTGTTAAATAAAGGTATGACATGCTGTATAAATTATTTTATGTGTCTTATGTGGAAATCTAATGTGATAACTTCCTGTGTATGCCTTTGGTTCATATTCAGATGTTCTGGCGGTTCATCATGAGGAAAAATTTGCCAGGAAATTCCTTGTCTACTGTCAAGTATGGCACTATTGCTTTGGGAGACTCATCCTATCAAAAGTAGGGCATAGCTTGTACATTTTCTTACTTTACATTTAATATAAGAGTTTTTGTTTGTTTGTTTTATTCTTGAAAAAAAATAGATAACATATTTGATTTTCAATTGAAGGAAATTTGGATATTTTGAAAATTTGATTTTTTTGTGCAGTCATTTTGAAGCACCAGAGACAAATCAAGTCCGTAGATTTATATCAGCAAAAATTTGTTGTTGATGTTTTATATACTGAAAAAATTTCCTATGGTTTCTTCTTTCTCACAGGTATAATGTTGTTGGAAAAAAGATTTTCAAGAGATTTGAGCAGTTGGGAGCCACAGCTGTCCTTCCTATCTGTCTTGGAGATGACCAGCATGAGTTGGGGCCTGATTCGGCCATTGACCCATGGCTGACCTCGTTTTGGGACAAGGCTCTAAAAATGTTTCCTTTACCTCCAGGAAAATTTGTAATTAGTGCTGATGTTCTGTGAGTGAAGTATTTGTTTTCATCTTTACTGTCAAATGGTGTTTTTTCTGTTTCTAAAGCAATGTTTATATTAGCATTTTTTGTTAATTAAAAGGTAAAACCTCATTTCTGTTCTTACGCTGTCTTTGGCAAATGTATAATGAATAAATTTATGTTGTTAGGGTTTTATAAATGGTGATGATTAAAATTGTGCATTTTCAAATTCTCCTCATGCAGTTTGATGAACCCTATCAAAACTCTCAACATATTTTAACAGCCTTGATTGACTTGCTGTCCTGAAAACGTCTCATCATACATCAATGTGCGCATTGATTAAAAATCTTTTTCTTTCATTACTTTTCTTGGTGTCATTTTAGACCCCCACCAAAGTACAAAGTCCAGTTTTTGAGCGATAACGATGACAAGAACAAGATGACATGCCCGCCATCTTTCTCTGGTGGCAGTGACACTAAAGAGGTGCCATCGCAGAAATGCCCATATCTGTCCAAGATGTTGTCCAACCAAAGACTGACCGCAGATGACCACTGGCAGGATGTCAGGCTGATAACCTTTGATCTAAGTGGTTGTAATATAAAGTAAGTACTTAATAATATTCTTTTTTAACAAAAGCAATAGAGCCTAAGATGAAAATACTACTACTAATAATAATAATAATAATAATAATGATACTAATAATGTGCACTCCTTCAGATATTCTCCTGGTGATGTATTGATGGTACAGCCAAGAAACATGACAGATGTAGTGGAAGAATTTATACAGTATCTTAATTTAGACCCAAACAAACAGTTTGTACTGAAAGAGAATGACCCAGGTGAGGCATTTTCATTTAAATTTGTAAAAAAAAAAAACAAAAAAAAAATTGATTGAAACTTGGACCAATGGATGTAAAGTTGGTTTTTCCATTTTAGACTGCTTCTTCAGTGTCCTCTATTTTTTTGGCAATTTAGAAAGCTTGGTGAAACCTATACAACTTGGTTATAAAAGCCTCTAGTTCAACTCACTTAGATCATTAATGCATTGTTAAGTAAAAAAAAGAAAATTAAATCAATGTGACTTTTAGCAGAAGACCAGTTGTCTCATGTTTATTAATCAAACTTGTTCATTTTGATAAAGCTGTTTATGTCAAATTCATAATCACACATTCATAGTTTACTTCCTATTTTGCCAAAATTGACTGTAACCTTTAATGCTATATGTGAAACTTAAATTTTTTTTTGTCTCAAGACGTTCCACTGCCAAATAATCTACCGCAACCCTGCACAGTACGCCATCTAGTGGAAAATTATTTTGACATTGCTGGAGTTCCTAGAAGGTATTTTTTTGAATTGATGCACCTCTTAGCAAAGGACAATCTAGAAAAAGAAAAACTGGGTGAATTTGCCACTGCAGAGGGACAGGTAACTTCATCAATGATTAATTTCTAATTTAAAAAAATTATAATTTATTGCTGGTGCTCACAACCTCAAGACAAACATTACACAAGATTGCTATAATGTCAACAAGAACTACAATTATACATAGTTATACAGCTAATTGTGAATCTTAGAAGAATAATACTCATACACTACACATAAAAGTAAACATTTTTTTGTAGAAATCATAAGTTTTTCAGCAAGAACCTCACCCATATTTTATAAAAAAAAAAATTAATATTTCTGCAAAAACATTACCCATATATTAGAGATCATTGAAAACATTTCAGCAAGAGCTGTATTCATATTGCAATCGACCAAGAAGAACCACTCTGGAGGTCTTGCAGGACTTCCCCCACACAGGACCCATGGTGCCATTTGAGTATCTGTTTGATCTCATCCCACCTCTGCTACCCAGAGCTTTCTCCATTGCTTCTTCTCAGTTGGTATGTATGAGCTGATATCTTTTCCCCTATTTTATTATTCAATTTTTGATCTGAACTAAAAGAATTATAGTCACTGTGACAAATAAAATGGCATAAAATTAGAGCACTTGCTGTTTTCGCCTTATGTTCTATTTATATCTGAGAGTGGTTGCTGGATACTGAAAGTATGGTATTACTGGTGTAAATTTACGATATAATTGTGTGAGAGAAAAAATGAATTTATTGTTTTATAGCTTATGAAGAAACAATTTTTCTTGGATTTTGCATTTCTGTTTTGTTAATAATTATATTTGTTACTTGGAACTTTTATTTGACAGGTCAATCCCAGCCAAGTACAAATACTAATGGCAGTTGTAGAATATAAAACCATTATTAAGAAACCAAGGCGAGGAGTATGCTCTACATGGCTAGCCAGTGTTGACCCACAAGATGAGCCTGATATAAGAATACCCATATGGGTGAAGCGTGGGACCATAGCATTTCCGCAGAAAGATGACCCACCGGTGATTATGATAGGGCCAGGAACAGGCGTGGCTCCTTTTAGAAATTACATTCAGGACAGAGTTATGAGAAATGTAGGAGGTAAGAGTTTTACAGTGTTTATTGTAAATAAAGGGAGACTGAGGGGAGAGGTTGAGGGGGGGGGGGAGGGGGTGAAAGAGACATTACCAAGTGGAAACTTGTTTTTAATGATAAGTTATTAGTTTATTTTGAGTTAATTAATAAGCAGAAATAGACTTTCATGACATGGATGAGGTTGCCAAAATATTTTATATGTATTTAAAAGTATTTATTATGTTAAATTTCAAAGTCCATTCTATTTATAGGTTAAAAGTCCACCCTTCTAGCTCAATGCTGTGTCCATTTCAAAAAGAATCTCTTGTCTATAAAAAGTTTTATATATTCCAGGCAATTATTTGTTCTTTGGCTGTAGGAATGAGGCCAAGGATTTCTACTGTGCCAAAGAGTGGCAGGAATATGTGAACAGAAGCTTCCTGCAGTTGTTTACGGCTTTCTCCAGGGATCAGGTAGCAAAACGAGGCTGTTATCATCATCTTGTGTAAAGTTCATTGTAACTTTTGTGCAGTCTTATTTTGTCCAATATACAATACATTTGTTTTCTCTGTTTTGATTAGGTAGGTCTTGGATGTCAAAATTCTGCTAATATGACCCTTATTGCCTCCTAATACAAAATGTGGTTTTACTTTCACTAAGTGACCAAGGTGACTTTTGTAAATCTTTCCTCTCCTAGTAGGTTATTTATCATTAGACAAGTGAATTTTATTTTCAGGAAGACAATGTTTATGTCCACCACAGAATGTTGGAGCAGAAGAAGTTGTTGTGGGAACTTATTGATAAGAAGGGAGCATATGTCTACATTGCTGGGTAAGTGGAACTCTACTTGAGGTCAGTCAGTAAGTCAAGAAAAACTGTGAAAAAAACTTTTTCAATGCACTGTTTATGTATTCATAATGGTGTTTGCCTTAAGACGTGCAGTAAAATATGATAAAGTAAGAAATGTTCATGATAAATATGTACCAACAAAGGCTTACTACAATCGCCATGGCAGTAGTGTTTCAATTACAGTAAACTATTATAAATTGTGTATTTTTCTCTTTTTCAGCAATGCAAAACAGATGCCGGATGATGTTAAAGGAGCTTTAAAGACAGCCATCATGGTAGAGGGTGCTATGTCAGAAGACAAGGCAGAACAGTATATAAGACAGATGGAGAAAACAAGGCATTATCAAGTAGAAACATGGTCTTGATGAGAGCTGAAGTTCATTTTAAATTAAGAATTAGCTTTTCATGACATCAACACCATGAGAAATTATGTAAGTGTTTTTAATTGTAATGTACTATTAGTTGGAGATGTGCAAAGTTCTTTGGGAGAATTTCATTTGAAAAGAAATACTGTAATAAGTTGGTATTAACAAAAATACATGCCACAACATTCCAAATTGTTTGGTTTAGTAAGTTTGCTAATGGTTTATAACAAGAACAAAGATACACAATTTATGAATCGGATTTACAGTCACATACAATATTTTATTATTTCACCATGAAAAAGTTGCTCAGTTGGGAAAAGTACTGTGAAAAGAAACCTTAAAATGAATGTATTCAGTTTTCTGTATTTCAAAGCTGTGAAGATTGTCACTAGTAACTTCAACACAGCAAATTCAAATAAACTTCGCAATAGACATTGAACAGATTTTTTTCAGACTGAAAAAAAAAAACATTCTGTAAATTACACTCAACTCGCTGGACAAGAAAAATAAAACAGGAGTCAAGGTTTTAAATGTCTATAAGTACTTGTAACATTTATTTCATTGTTAAACATGTTTCACTGGTATGGGAACACTATGCGCGTAAAGTTCAGTTAAGGATTCTTTATACAACATGTACAACTCATAACTGATATGTCACCTCACAGACAAAGCGCGAGAGATACAGTGAATAATTATCACAATATCAATTCAATCATACTTTTGCACTGAAATTCTACCAAGTGCACAGAATGAGAAGAAAACTGCAGAGTGGACTAGAGGTACAAAATCTTAATATATTTGCGAACGCTGTTAACTGAAGAAGAGAATGAGAGGATCAAAGCTCGACAAAAAAGTTCAAAACCATAAACTCAAACAATTACATGCTATTAAATTAGAACATCTACATATTAAAGGGATAATAACTCTTTGTTTTGGCCAAAAAATGAATTTCCTGGAGTAAAAAAAAAAATTTCCCATACTTACCAATGGTTAATTAATCCATTTTTACATTCAAAGTTAGTCCCTGTTTTTTTTTCTAAAAATTTTGTTTAACAAGAGAGAGTATAACAAAGTATTGCCATCAATGGAGGTCACGTGGTCTGAAGACAAGTTCAGTTATCAGAATAATAGCCATAACTGCCGTCTTTGTGGTACAACAGAATATATCATATTTTATGAGTTGTTCACAATGTTAGAGTTGTTATCCCTTTAACCAAAATAGCCAAACATCCAAGTATAAGAGACAGTTGGCTAATTATAAGTGCAGCAAGAGAATGTGCCTCCTTCAATCTTGCTATTCCTTAAAACAATTCAGTCAATATGTTGATATTCTACATATATACAGCGGTTACTAGCCATGGTGGCAAGCTAATTGTCTATGGAAATTAACAATTAGTTTCGATAACAATATCTTATAATAACTAACCCCAAGTAGTTGTTACACAGTCACAATTATTTTAATACTTGTAGCACCAAAAGCAATGGGAAAATGTAAGTAGATAGACATTACATAATTATCCCACAGAATAGGATAGAAAGCTATTCAAAAAGGGAGGGTTGAGTACTCTAATTTTCACAACCAAATCATTACACTACTGTTCCCAGATGTAATAATAATTGCACATATATTTACATTATAAATAGCATTATATCCTTCTTGAAATGACTGAATGAAAAAAAAAATCAAGCATTGGATTTTTAGTTTTTTCCTTTGCATGGGGAGGGTAGGGGTCAAAAATAACAGTGTTTTGCCCAACTCAAAACTGCAAACTTTATCTCAAACATTCAACAAGAGAAAGCAGGTGTATGTACAGGGTGGGGGAAGGGGGGGGGGGAGAGGAGGAAGAGACAGAGAAGTCACCCTATTGTCCATAATATAACCCTCAAAATATGCAGTCTTGGCCAAAATTACCTTGCCAAGATGTACAAGAAACCAGATACAGACAAATGTGTAAACACGCAGCAATCCAATGAATAATAGTTTAAATACTAGCATTTGACAATAGTAGTGCTGCAGGCTAAAAAAAAAGTTCAGGAAGTCCAAATAAATGATGTACTTAACCTCCTTGAAATACAATTGTGCTTGCTTTGAAAGACATGAAAATATTCGGCCTTTCACAAACTTTTATAAATGCACCAATGTACACATTATTTTTAAGCTCTCTCTCCCTCTCTCTCTCTCACACACACACACACTGTTCTATTGCACAAGTATACTTCCATCGTGACACAATATTACAACACAGGCAGTAAAGAGTGCACAATCACCCATCAACACCATAATGACTTCCATCTGAAAGTATGTTTTACACTGCATGGCTGAAAATATCTTTGGATTTTAATCTCAATTTATACAAGGTGTAGTTAAAGAAAAAGAAAGCCCTCCATCAAATTACATAGCATGTTCACAATTAGGTTGCTGTTGTCTTTTAACTAATACAAAAAGCATTAGCAAGCAGACTGCTACTACTGTGACCATGGAACTATACACAAATCCTATTCTTAAAATGAGAAGTTCTTGAATGTATGCAAGAGTGCCAGTCAAAATTATCTCATTTTTTTAAAATAACATCAATAACAATGTCAACACTAGTTATGTACAGCATACGAGTCACATTTTCAGCAATGAAACTACATCTGGCATGTTCTAATGTAGTAATCCTCTGCCTACAAGCATGGTATTTACTAACATAGTAAATCAACAATGCACAAAAAAATCTATAGATGTAAAAGTGACATTCTTTTAGTTAAATTGTCTGTGTCAATAACAATACTTTGTCCACACACACTGGTGACTGACTACGACTCGTAACAGTTGAGCTATATATGCCATAAATACAATTTCACACTGAGAAGAAATTGACACACATAAAAATCTGTTGCCAGAATGACAGTTTGGCACATATCAACAGACTCAGCCACTAGCTTTCTTTCCGATTACAGAAAGGTACAGTAGTGGAATTGGAATTTCTTCCTATTAAGTCAAACTTCCCATTGTCCTATTGGTCTCTATAGCAACAATTTATTAGTGTTATGTGAACTCTGACCCACTTAAACTAGAGACTAAATTTTCTTTTTAAGTCATGCTCTCTTTCCGTTCCTTATTCTCTCTTTCTTTTTCCTTGTGATCCTTGCTATCCCTCTCTTTAGGATCTCGTTTTGCCGCCGCTTCTTTTATTGAGTTAAACGTCTTCTGAAACCAAGTATTCTTTGAAGCTTGTAACTCTGTTAAAGCTGCGTTAAGCTGATGCGTTAAGTCCTGTGTCTTGCACTCGGATTCAACGAGTGCTAGCTTCGTTTGTGCCAGCTCCAGTTCGAGCTCCCGAATCTGCTTGGTTGCATCCAACACTTGGTTTGGGTCTGCGCCATCGGAAATGGTCATCGAAGTATCCATCGATTTCAACTGGGTATCCGTGTTAGCGAGCTTTGTGCACCGATCACAGCCAGAAATCACTTCCTGTGACGGATAAATGAGAGAAAGTCAATTGTGTGAAATGAATTTTCAATTGCAATGAGGTAAGTAAATTAAGTTTCAAGGAGAAAGCTTCTAATCCTCACAGATTTTCTGCACTCTTCATTTAAATGCAGCAATTACTTCCCAGCTAGAACAATTTTAGCTAGGGTAAAATATCTTCATGCATACAGAAGTAAAAATCTGGTCAACAGAAGTGAATTACTGTATAAATTTATTAACTAAAATTTAACATTCAAATTAAAAACTTAAATTGTGTTAGTATGAAGCTATCATGTTAATTTTACATTATTACCTTGATTTTAGCCAGATCTATCTTACTGGCAGATGCCTGCTTCTCTAAGCGCTCACTCAACTGGGTGCAGATCTACAGGGAAATGGTAAAAATCTTATACATTATTATTGCAAAATAAAATGTTTAAAACAGGATGCAGATCGTTTTAAGATTCATTACTTTACAAATAAGTATAAATTCATATGACCTTGTTTAGTGTTTCAATTACAAATTATATTGTGCTGGAATAATTTTCCTCTTTATAGTAACTATTACATAATGAAATACTACAAAATTTAACCAAAGGGCAATGGAGGCAATCTTTCTGTGTCAAAACAAAAATATTTTTGTGAGAGAGAAAAATCCCTTTTTAATGGTGTAATTTGTGCCTATAATTGCAGTCTTGACCTTTAAATACAAAAATGATTGAATATCACAAAAACAATGAATATAAACCGAATTAGCCTGTAAGTTTATAATGACATTTATCACTGACATGTACCTGCTTGTACTCTGCAATAATGGCATTATTTCTGCTGCTCTCCTGGTCCAGCTTTTCCAGCTCTCTCCTGCACATGTCCTTCAACTAAGTAAAGCAAGGCATAATTATGGTTTTTGTCAAATGGAAGGCAGGATCACTGTACAGTATTATATGTAAGTTTTTACATTTGATCGTGTAATATAAAGACAAAAGGGTTATATATTTATTTTTTTCTGATATATTTATGTATAAAAATACATTTCACATATTCATAACACAGCATGTTAAGTCCTCTCTCTCTCTCACTCTCTCTCTCTCTCTCTCTCTCAAATCACCATCTTCACCATCACTCTCACCGTGTGCTCCCACCAAGTGATAATCAGTAAAATCCAATATAATCACCTGTGCTGATTCTGTCTCCAATCTCTTCTTTTCCTCCTCCAGCTCCACCAGATCAGTCTTGGTTGACAGCAGTTCCTTTGCCAGGGCATCTGCTTTATCTTCAGACTAAATGAAATGAAGTAAAAAACTGAATTACAATTCAAATATAACATAAACCTATGATAGTCACAAAGTGAACTATTCTATGATTTCCCAATAATGTAATAAGTAACAAACATTTTGCTCTAGTGGAAAGACAAAGTAATGAGTCTAAAGCTGATTTTAACAAGATGATTTCAACTAGCTGGAAAAAAAAAAGAACCTGTAATAGTATCTAATATCAGGAAAGCTTTATTCTGAGATGGGTAATTGAGTGAAGTATAATTTGATGCAGTGGAACACATCACTTTGGCATTATCCTGGTTTTGCCATGCAGAAATTGAAGCAATCACATTAGAAAGTGGCACAATTGGTCTGCAGGCATCAATTTGTTTCCAGCATCTTAGGCCCCATTCCCATAGACACAATCGGTCTACGTGGATCGACCCAACTCTGCAGGGACTCTCGTTGACTGCAGTCAGCTTAATTGAATGACACAGCACCTCCTGGGCTTAAGTAGAATACAGAAAAGCTGGTGATTATAGGAGTACGTTGGAAACAAGGAGGCCTGATATTCAGTTAAGCTGATTGCAATTAGCCAGGGTTCCAGCAGAGTTGGATCGATTCCACGCAAACCAATGGTGTCCCTGGGAATGGGGTCTTATACAAATGAGGGATGATTGCAGCCTTACCAGAGTTAAGTTAAATACATATTTATATAGTTGTTAGTGGAAGCAAAACGGTATATGGCAGTTTTAAATAAAATGCCAAGAAGAACAAAGCTTGAAATATACTTTGTTTCACAAAACATCCATTTGAATGACTACTCCCACAATTGCAGATACACATGCAATACACTCATTTTTACACAAGTCTACCTGCTAATTCAAACAACAAATGTGCTGAAAGATCAAGAAAACTAACACTGCATCAATATTAACAGCACAGGTGCTATGGGCATCTATCCTATTATGCAAATAAAGCATTCTTCTACCCTGAAAAAATATCTAACACTGCTGATTTATTAAATCTTAAAAGAGCATGCATATGCCCATTTGCACAAAACTACGTAGCTAATATACATGCAAATGCTGCCTAAACTAAGTAGCGGACTCCTTTGCACTGGCTTTAATTTAAAACGACTTTCCTTTACCACCCCTAAGAGGATACCTAAGGGAACATTTGCAGGTCTTGATAAGAATTTTGTAAAATGTATCAACCCCCCTTCTTCAAAACAAACACACAGACACACACACACACATTATCAAGCATGAAGGTATACAAATGCCTCGGTGTCTGATGCATAATATTGAGTCCTTCAGTAGTCTACATCCATTTGTGACCTTTTAACAGCTGAACAGGTGACAAAGGCAAATTGCTCCCAACATTAAATCTAATGGCCTGAAACTGAACGCGTTAACTGTGTTCAAAGGCTAATTCTGCGTAGCTGCAACAGTAAGCTCATATTAAAACCAGCATACGGATATATACATGGTTATGGGAGATTTTACCCATTTGCAGTTTATCCTCAAAGAAATGCATACAGCATTTATTAAAGGGGGAAGTGGGTGTATGTTGAATATGAGTAAGAAAAAAAACCTAATAACCCATATTCCATGTTGCTACCAGCTTCTACATTAAACCCATATAACACATCTATGACAGCGTGTGAACTAGGTAACAAACAAAAGCTGACAAACAAACTGGAATTATCAAAATGTATCCCTGACAAAAATATCAAAAACATGAAAAACACAACAACCTCTAGTTCCACTTAAAAAATAATAATTAAAGCAAAACATGAAAATCCAAAGCACAGCAGACGGCACATCAAAATGGGAAAACACTGCCATCCAGCCTACCTCAAAGGTCCTAGCTTCCATCTGATGAAAAAGAGGGAAAGGGAAGAACAATTCAGGAAAATATCATTGATAAGCAGGTAAGAGAATTACAAAAGCTTTTGCAGGGATTTATGTTATGCATTTTCAATGAAAAGGACAATGGATTTCTGTGATTTGGGGGATTATACCAAGCAAAACATCTTTTTGGATTAAAAACAAGCCAGTACTATCGATTCAACAAGTCGTTAAAATATCCCAAGGGAAATTAATACATAATATGCATATTTAGCAGGATAGTATACAGATAATAAAAGGTTAAAGAAAAGGATAAATAATTGTCCAAAGACATATTTGAAAAAAGATAGTTAATCAAGGGTAAAAACTTTATTAATTTTATACAACTGAAACTACGTTTATAAGGACGTTAGACTATCTAATTATCATTAGTAAGCTCTCACATTAATGAGTAAATATTTAAAACTAATGAAAATATACAGTTATATACCATACTGCATAAAGAAAGTTCAGCTCCATATTCACAAGTTGATTTTCATGTATAGTAAAGTCTATGTGTAATAGTGATATGATGACCACTTACAGCATCCAGGTCACTCCGGAGCTGTATCTTACTGGTCACTAGCTCATGGGCCAGGTCATCGTTCTCCTGCTCCAGCCTCATGTTGGCTTCCATCAGACGCTTGTTCTCACGCTGGAATGGACAAATTAGAAGATGTGGTTCTTCAGAGTGAAAACAAAACACACATGAACTGTGCAGACCTCCTGATTCTTTTTTTTTTTCTTCTACAGATATTTCGTTTGTCAATTTGAATGTAACTAACCTGGTACATTTCTGTGATATTTTAGAAAAATGTTTTTTTTTACTTAGAAATAGAAAGGACATGTAAGAGCCTCATATTCACATCAAAAGGATTAAAGAGCGGCAATGAGGCATCAAAAAGATGCACTTTTCCAATGATGATGCATTTCTCCTCAACATCTTGTTCATTGTAAAAATATGCAAGATGTCTAGTGCGATTGAAACTACAGACTTATGAATATCAAGTTATTTTGGTGTCAGAGTAATTATCTACACTATACCTCATATCTCTCAATAGGGTCTTCCTGCTGCATTTGGGCTTCCTTGATGCTCATGTACTCCTTCTCATACTTTTTCAGCTTCTTGGAGCTTATCTGAAATGAAGAACCAAACACCAGTTAATTTCAATTTTGATAAGTACATACTGTAAACCACCTACTTGATTCATAGTCCTTGAAATACTTGAAAGACAGCTAACCTGTAGTATCAGCAGACCTTTAAAAATTGCTGTCTTCTCTTAAAAGCTGCTGATTCTCAGACACCTTTGGCCCAACGACTTTATAATTTCCTTCAATCACAAGAACCCGCAGCAAACTAAAGCAGTCTCTCTGGCATTAAAAATCCCAATGTCAAGCTGATGGCCCACATTAATTTTGAACACATCCGTTATGTCATATTGATCAATACTCTTCTCTCTTTCCTGCTATAGATGAACTCCTTCTATCAACTTGGAAAGCATTGGAGCATTCTTAAAGCAAAACCTCAGCAAATGCAACCCTTTCAGCTAAGATTTCACACAGATTCACTCAATCACACTATCAAGGAAATTGTCAAGTAAGCAAACAGTCAGTTCAAAATAAACCTCACATCTTTAAGTCAATTTTGAGTGTTCATGGTAATTTGCTTCACAGGAAATTAGCAAATAAAATGGTCAACTGGATCTTAACATTGAAAACATTGTCAATTTTATGTACCATAGCAGCATATATGCTGCTCACAGTTGTGAGGAAAAAAAGAGCATATCAGCAATAATAATTAAGAGGTTACAGTTGTCACAGAATCAATTTCATCCTCAGTACTATGCAAAAAGCAGCCTGACCAACAACATGCGTGGTTGTTCATACAAGGTTAATCCATCTGCTACATATTTTATCCTTTGAAGTCTTAATTTTATGGGACACCATACAAACTGTACCTTAAGATAATTATCCCATAATGCAGAATAAAGAATGTCTGTGCCTGATTTCTCCACCCTGACAGCAATCAATATAAAGCTGAATGATTGATAATTCATAAAAATTCCCTTGACCACTACCTTATTGACACCATCTTTTTCTTCATGTCCACCAACGGGTAATTATATGCTGACAAATTCTGCCAAATGTTCAATTGCTGAAATTAGCAAATATTGGAAATAGCCAAATTTTGCATATGGCTCTTGTTAATTACTTAGCATCACTGACTTTCTTCTTTTACCAATAATTAACTGACAAGTCTCAGCATGAGCTCCTGCAGCCATTTTATTGCATACTTTATGACAAACATAACAGAAATCTTACCATTTTTCCTTTACTCTGTGTACTACCAACTAAGAGTGTTTTCAAATCTTCCATATGTTATCCTTGTCCCAAATTGGATTATTAAGACCTTACATGTGGGTGAATATGTTCATCTGCATAACGATTACAATACCATAGAATATAATTTCCCATATTATGGTTTTTATAGCTGAATTCATAAACCAGAGATGAATACTACCCTCATAGCTAAGCACATGAAAGGCATGGATTCTACCCTCATATTTCTTTCATCCTTTTTATACTATGTATAAAAGCTGGGCATACAATGTGCAGACATATTAAAACAGTAATTTTAGTTCAGGCATAATATTCAGAACCTGGAAATTTTTGTTCCTATGAAACGTTTTCTTGATTCAATCTTCCATAGGGTCCTAAAGCAAATTTAGCTTAGTTGCCACCTTGGCACCCTTGGGCAACCATGTGTTCTATAAATAAATATACTATAATCAGTTCCAAAGACAATCCTTGCAATTAAACATTCAGATATTCTGTTAGGTATTCAGAATGATATAATGTCATCTCGAAATATTTTGTACATAACCTTTATTATGCATATTAAATGTCCCCTTTATTCTCATAAGTACGCAATTCCATCTGACTTGATAAAGAACACCGATAGAAAAATTCAGACTTCTTTGGAAATCAATAAAATTCAATTCCAAGGAAGCAGATCAGTATGAAATACAAGACATTGAATGCTAAAACTTGTTATCAGAATCAAATTACTGAGTAAGTAAATGGGCCACATTGTGCCTTCCAACAATGAAGTTCATATCAATTATATTCCTATAGTATTTCAAGTGACATGTCAAACTAGGAGAACTATATCTATAATAAAATGCCCTCCATGATAACCAATTAACTGAAACAAATCATAGATAAAAGAATGTTATTTTACTTTCACTATAAGGGACACATAAAAATGAATTAACTATTCAAAAAGCTTTCTTAGTTGTCTTAAGAAATCAGACAGGGTTAGCATCATTAATGGAGACATTACCATTATGTTTTTATTCAATTGCAAAAATCTAATCATTTCTGCCATGGAAAGTGGTTCACTTTATGCTATGTTTAGCATAATGCCATAATTTTACAAACATGTGTATCTGCAAATGCCAAATTGGATTCACTTTGTCAGATGTATGGTTTACAAATGGCACAATGGCAGCATTACTGCCAATACGAGTTGATATATCTGCATTGAAACAAACACTAGAGAACAGTCAACTTGGCACAAGAGAAATATGTCTAGACCTATCTTTGATCTATCATAATCAACAGGTCCCGATGGAAGCAAATTTCAAACTTAATATCTTCTGCTGGTGTTAAATACAAAGTCACTAATTACTTAGACCTCTAGGCCGACTCTGGGGGTTGGAAGCTCACTCTATAGCTCTTTATTATGTTTTTTAGCAATGGATCTTATTTGCCCTTTTATTTTAACAAATGAAGTAAAAATGAAACCTTCCATTATTACTACATTGCTTCAATTAATGCAAAGTAAAGGTACTAGCTGAACTCGCAGCTCAAATCTCCAGAGGTTGGTAGTTTACAGAAAGTGGCAATCCTTTATGAATGTGGTGAATTCACAAATAAAATTTCTAAAAAGCCACACGCCAGGCTGATAATCTTAAGCTAATTCTGATAGCCCACGGGCCTGCTTTACAATAAGTCTTGTTTCAGACTTCATGGTAAAATCACAAAAACTGAATAGTGAACTTTGTTAAACTGAAGTTACAATACTAGTTTGAAAGCATTTTACATTAAGAGACTGAAGCACAATTAATGTTGTGATAATTAAATGCAATGTCCCTTAGCTATATTTCTACATCTAAATATCTGGCAAAACTACTCTATGACATCTTTTCCAATTCTGGCCTTAAAAATCATAAAACCTCACAAATTAAGGTGTCTAATATCAAAATTTCCTACAGAAATGCATGGAGACAGATGGCAGACTATATGAATCGCAATTCCTTTGGAACTAAATAATACAAACAAATATTGTACAAAACACCAAATCAAAGTGCAGGACCAGTTACAACAATGATTTAAGATGCATGAAGATTTGTCGCTTACCTTCCAGCTCACAGCAGTGGTCAGCAGCTCGCGGGCATTCTCCTCTGATCTGTACTTCTTCGGCAGCTGGACCCGAAAATATTTGAGAATTCCTTCAAAGTCCAAGGCTAGCAGCTCCTTTCTGTTGCTCTGCAAATGGCAAGGAGTTAGGAAATGAACATTGATTAATTGTCAGGGAAGATAAAGTGCACTTCCCATCAACTGCTTATTAAACAATCTTGTCTGAACTTTTATTGCATGTGGAATTTTTAATGCATTCTATGTGTATAAACCTACTTATGAACCCAACATGCTCACTGACAAAACTATTGAATATATTAATTAATCTAGGATGAATTATTAATAAAATCATATTAAAACTACTGTACTCTTTATATTGGTTTCAATAATGCTCTTACTGAGCATCACAATAAAAATACATTAAAGTGATAATAACTCTTCGTTTTGGCCAAAAAATGAATTTTCCTGGAGTAAACAACAATTTTCCCATACTTACCAATGGTTAATGAATCCATTTTTACATTCAAAGTTAGTCCCTGGTTTTTTTCTAAAAAGTTTGGTTTTTTGTTAAAATCTCTTAAGAGATTTTAACAGAGTATAGCCATCAATGGAGGTCACGTGGTCTAAAGACAAGCTCAGATATCAGAATAATAGCTATGACAGCCGTTTTTGTGGGAAAACAGAATATATTATATTTTTATGAGTCATTCACAATGTTTTTACTGTGAAATACAGATTTCATACGAAGAGTTATTATCCCTTTAATATCATCTGAGATTATGACAATCTAAATTATTCAATTGTTGAGAAATTCAAAAGACATTAAGAGGTATATTGCTGCAGTATTACCACCAATCAATTTACCTTTGTCTTACCAGATGTCTAATCTAATGGGGCTTACAATACCTACTTGGAATTTCTACACAATCACATACAAAACTTATTCTATAGTGGCTGTTGTCTCTATGTTAACTTCCATGGACTTCTACATTATGTATAATCTAAAGCCAGCAGCTATTAACAAATGAAGGCACTCGTCTGTGTGTCATTACCACCAATCTAATGCACTCCAGGGATTTTCCAGTTCATCAGAAAAAAAAAAAAAAATACTGACATACATGTACAATACCAAACCTTTGGTTATGCCTCGTTATCCCCAAGATAGGAGCAAACATTTATCCCTATATCCTACAAGTGACGTAATCCTCACAGTTCTCAATTGTACAACTCCTTAGTGCAGTGATGAACAAGAACTGTTATGTGCACGGAAACAATGTGAACCCTGCACCTTAACTTAGCTAGTTGCAGTCTCTCCACTCCTCAGCCCTAGTAATCTTCACACTGTACAGAACTTGTCTACAAGCATCACCTAATCGAAACCCCCAAATGTACGATACATTTTAATACTTGCTTCCTCGCCCTCTAATGTTCTTCAGCATAATTACAAGACACATACATCTAGCCAGGCGGACAGGTCTACTTGGCTACAGTACATTACTGTGGGGTAGGCAGAACCACACAGTTTAGAATCCCATCTCAAGTCCCCTAGAGAGTCGTCAAAATGTCAATAAATTTTCCCCACGCTAAGACTGGGAATGCTACACAGCTATCTTCAATCTCACTTCCACCTCTAATGGCACAAAAATGAGTCATTTGGCCGAAAAAATGTATATGTGGTGAAAATAATCAATCAACCATGAGTTGGATGATTGTTATATAATTGTGCCCGGTACTGTGGATAGGGAAGCAGGTCTGTAAGTGTGGCAGATCAATACTAAATGGCTATCTATGCAAAAAATTGCTCCTCGGTATATAGTTACAGGTGCCCCCAAATGTCAATGTCTGATATAATAGTATTATATATGAGGAAGTATTACACGGATAAAAAAAATTCTATTTGTATTATACTTCATACCAAAATTTGTCAGTCTTTAACTATTAAGAATCATGAGGTATAACCTTGATGTTCAGAAGAATTTGCAAGATAATGTTCATACTTAACACCAAAACATATTTTGTCATTTCCCACATATACTTATATATAATCAATGCCAATTTTCAGCCAAGCTTGAAAAAATAGAGAGCTGGCATAGTTCACATAAAGCAAGAAGGATATATTCTCTTTCAGTGCAGACAGTACAACAAGGCAGCAAAGCTGGCAAATGTACAGACAAAAAACAGAAAATAAAGATGCAAAAAAGGTCATTTTGTCAATTTTGATGCAATAATAAATAATGCTTATAATAGCACTGTCAGTCAACACTGAATTTTAATCTTGCACAACAGGTAATATGGTCAATAACAGGAGCAGACCCAGAGATATTTTCTGACAGTATTACAAAGTATCTATGTTGATCCATCCTCCATTTTGATGGTCTTCCAACAGAAAAAATAGATACCAGTCAATATAAACTTAATAACCTGACTGTCTTCCGGAAGACCCAGAAGATGGTCTCAATCCACCCCTTCAATAAGATTACAGTTTCAGGACCATGAGAGTTCAAATTCACATTATGAAAGTCTCAATATTTGAAAAATGATGACAGTGCATAAAATAATATTACATAATGTTTAAAGACATAAAAAACAATACAACTGCTTATGTAGA